AGCATCAGACAAGTCCCAGTTGAGAAATATCTGACCAGTAATCCTTAAAACTGTCAAAGTCATCAAGAATAAACTGTCAGAACCAAAAGGAACCTACAGACACATAATGACTAAACGTAATGTGGTACTCTGGATGGGATCCTGGAACAGAAAAAAGACATAAGGGAAAAAATGAGGAAACTGGAATAAAGTATAGACTGTAGTTAATAACAATGTATCAAAAGGGGTTCATTAATTATGACAAATGTACCATAGCAATGTAAGATGCTAATAACAGGAAATACTAGGTGTGGGGTATATGGGAACCCTCTTGCAATAATTCCATGTATCTAAAATTGTTCTAAAATAAATGTTTATTAAAAAAAGAAGAAGAGGGGCGCCTGGGTGACTCAGTCGGTTGAGCATCCGACTTCGGCTCAGGTCATGATCTCACGGTTCGTGAGTTCGAGCCCCACATCAGGCTCTGTGCTGACAGCTCAGAGCCTGGAGCCTGCTTCAGATCTGTGTCCCTCTCTCTCTCTCTGCTCCTCCCCTGCTCACATTCTGTCTCTCTCTCTCAAAAATAAATAAATGTTTAAAAAAATTAAAAAAAAAAAAAGAAGAAGAAGAAGAAGAAGAAGATAGCCTGAGCAGGGGACTACCTTGCCAACACTCCCTATCCACACATCATACCTAAGGCATCTCAGCAGGGCAAAAGAACTTTTGGTGTGGAACATCTATTGGGAAGAGGGGAGTATACAGGGGGTGATGCCTCCATAGGATCATGATCTCCAAAAAGAGTAAAAGTACCTAGTGTCAGTCATCCAAACACCACTGTTGATACTTTGATAAAGACACTATTGATAAGATAAAGACCACTGAAGACCCCCAAAATATGCAGATCTGAGGTCACTACCCACATTGCCTTGGGAACATATGAAACTTAACCCACCCCTCAGACACTACCCTGACAATGAGAATGTTAACAGGACACCTTAGGATGCAATTAAGGAAATCTCAACCTGACTGACTTAAACAATAAGGAAACATTTTGTATCTCACATAACAAGTACCAATATTCTATTGCAACATTCTACTCCATAATGTTCAGTGCCTCATTCATTCTCTAGCTAACTCTCCTGGCACTCTGGTTGTCTCCATTTCAGGTATCACATGCAGAAGGCACAACATCTGGCAGCAGAAAAGACCACCTCTTCAAGTGAGACTCTTGAAGGATTCTTGTCAGATATTTTCTAGACTGTCTCTCAGTATGAGTCTGTCTGATGCTTTCTTGTGATTAGACTAAGGATTTTAGATTTGGGGTAAGAATACCATAGAAATGCAAGTGCGATTCTTTTAAGGAATTAGGAAACTTCCCCTCACAACTCACCAGCCACACATCATAAGCTCCTTCCTAAATTAATCAGTAGGAAGAATAATGAAATTACCATAATCACTTTAGACCAATCAGGACTTACTCCTGAATCACAAAGGCAAGTATATATACCAAACAAAATAGGGCTGGTCTGCAAAAATGAAGGGGGGTGTGAATGGATACTGAGCAGGCCACCACCAGTGTCTATAGGTAAAAACCCTGAAAGGCAGAGCCTTTACTCAAGAGAATACATTAAATGAACAAATCTGTTTTAAAATAGAAGACACACTTTTCATTGTCCAATTTACTTCTTCCTCCAACACTATCACCACCCAGAGGGAATTTTAGATCTGTTATAGAAAATAAGAAAGTTTCAGGCTTTGTTTTTTCTACAATCTGATTTGTAACATGTCAAGTTTGATACTTCTACATACATGTGATCTCAGATCTGTATAATACCTAGGTAAGTACTAACTAAGCTCTCCATCTTACAGATGAGGAAATGAATCCAAAGTAGTTAAATAACTTGCCCAACATCACAGCTAGAAACTGAATTAGATTTCTAAGCTGTATCTGCAGTCTTCAAAGCTTGAAATGTTTTTTTAAGATACCATATACTTCCTCAGATATCAAGGGAGTAGAGGCAATAAATAAAAGACCTCTAACAGATAAATTTCATCTACAGCTCATCTAGACCAACATGACCCTTTCTGTTAGCAGCTCAAAGAATAAACATGCATACACACTCCAACAAAGATGCTATCGCTAGCTCAAAATATGAAACTGACACACAAGTAAGAGATTTAGATTTGCGAGCCAGTTGCATAAAATTAACTAAACAGAAGTAGTTAAGATACCTAGGGCAACATTTCTCAATGCTTTGCTGGATTCTTCTGTACCATGATAACAAGTAGGCCATGAAAATAGTAATCTGTGATCAAATAAACTGAGAGACTAGGTGAAACAAAATTAAACAGCCTTATTAACCAACAGATTTCTCAGAGCCTTTATACACCAGCAGGCATTATGAACTCTAAGAAGAGTATATTCTACTTATAGTATTTACAGTGCTTTAGGTTTATTTATTTATTTTGAGAGAGAGCGAGCGAGTGCAGAGGAGGAGGAGAGAAAGAGGGAGAGAGAATCCCAAGCAGACTCCTCACTGTCAGCTCTGACTTGAACCATGAGATCATGACCTGAACTGAAATCAACAGGAGGACACTTAACCAACTGAGCCCTTCAGGCGCCCCCTCTACTTACAGTATTTAACATTTATCTTGAAAAAAATCTCTTTCCTTTTTTAATCCTGACCACTTATAAACAATTCCTAGGAAAGTATTCTGTTTAACACCATTTTGAGAAATACTACTCTAAGGGGGACAAAGGCAAAGGCCCAAGAATACAATCCATTATTAGGGGGCTGGAGGCAAACAAACAAACAAACAAACAAACAAATCCAATAAAGAATACAGTGAAGAAGGTAGGAAGCAAATATGGATAATTCAATATTATAGAAGCAAGAAAGGAGATGGTTTCTAAAGAGACAATCAACAAAACTAAACTACTGAGATATTAAATAGAGAATAAAAAGTGTTTCGATTGGACTAGGAAAACTGTCACTTGTGACCTTTAGGAGAATAATAGCTTCAGAAAGGGGGAGAAAAGAAGGATGACAGGCAGAATATAAAAGGTTAGGATGGAAATGATAAAAGAAGTAGATGAAGCATTTAGAGACCACCAATAACTGTAGTTTAGCAGTGAAAGTAAAAAAAGAAATTGGTTGGTTGGGAGAAGGGAGCATATAGAGCAATAAAAAAAAAAAAATTAGAATGGGGTCACATGCACCTGGTTGAAGGTAAAAGTGAAACCATACTGAAAGAAACATAATAACAGATCAGTAGATGGAAGAAATGGAATCCAGAGTATAAATGACTAGAAAAGACATCTTTCCTCTCAGCTTGGAGAGAATTTGAATAGCAATGCCTAACCAAAGCTGAAGACCTTCTTTTAATACTCAAAAATTTCATAGATTTCTTCCTACTCCACTCAAGAGAATTTTTCAGTCTTTAGAGTTCAGTGTATATAGCAAGGGTATAAATTTGCTGATCTGTTGCTCCTGTCAGAGGATGTCTGTTGTGGGGGAAAGCAGAGGGTTACAGAGCTGCAATTAACTAAGGGCCCCAATCTGCATGTAATAAGAAGGTGTAGGCAAGTGACAATAGGGAAGTTGGGAGCTCATGGGATTTTAATTTATAATGACTTACTATAAATGATTTTTATATACAAAATAAAAGCTTAGGAACACACAGAAAACAATGTGAAGATTACCAAAGAAGGGTCCAGAAAAAAAAAAAGGCATCTACTTAGCCCACCCATAAATTTCCACAACTCTGCTATACCAACAGAAGTGGCGTAAGTCATAAATTTATAATGTAACTTCAGGGGCGCCTGGGTGGCTCAGTGAGTTGAGCGTTGGACTCTTGATGTCAGCTCAGGTCATGATCTCATGGTTCCTGAGTTCGAGCCCCGCGACCAGCTCTGTGCTGACAGTGCGGAGCCTACTTGGGATTCTCTGTCTCTCTCTCTCTCTCTCTCTCTTTCTGCCTCTCCCCTGCTCATTCGTGGGCGCGCGTGGACACAGGCACACACACACTCTCTCACTCTCACTCTCTCTCAAAAAAACCAAACATTTAACATAAAAAATAATAATATAACTCCAATATGCTGGTGAGAAAAAAGACTAGTAGCAGGTCTGGTTACAGTACAGCTTTAAACTTTTTAAATTTAAACTTTGTATGGCATTCCATCTGCATAAAACACCAACCCTAAGAGCTACTTAAGCATAGAAATTTTCATTTTTATTTCTTTCAAGAATAGCAAGGACACTGACACGAGATTCTGTTGCTTTATAACATTATTATAGATTCTTCCTTTTTGGTTAATTTCATCAACAATTCAAATTGAGTACATAATTTTGCATTAACTATGCCAAAGTCACAAGTGTGGCTCATATACGGCTCCAGGGCCCATTTATCATAACGTTTTGATCACAAAAAAAAAAAAAAAAAAAAAAAAAAAAAAAAAAAAAAAAAAAAAAAAAAAAAAAAAAAAAAAAAAAAAAAAAAAAAAAAGGCTGTAGCATCTGATTCTTCAACTACTTAATATATCCACCTAAAAAGGTTAATAAAAATCATACTGCTTAAAATATACATAGGTACAGGAGTCTGAGGAGGCCCATTCTTTAAACGAAGAAATTAATATTGATCAGTGTGCACGGAATAAGGATAAGGCAACAATACCTACACCAAACCTGGCAGTCTCCAGATTTGTGTATCTGTAAACCTAAGGCAGCCACATAGGCCAGATGACTGCTACTGCCAGCTCAGCAGCTGAGCTTGGAGAACAGGCGGTATCCACACACAGGCCACATTTGAGAACCAGAACTTGTGGCCAGTTTCGCCTGGTAGCGACTGGAGAACGTGGCAGTGATAAACCGGCAAAAGTCTGATAGAAAAAGGGTTACTGGCGGTAAGGGGAGCCTCCAAGGCTGCAATCCCGGAAGGCATAAAGCAGCCGCGGTAGGCTAATGCCCCTACGCCGGGTTAAAGGAAAGTAGGAGGACTGAGAGGAGAGGGCTCGTCCTTACCTTGTCATCCTCGCATCTTTTCCCCAGGCCCTCCCTGGCCTGCAGCCGGCTGCTGAGGCGGCCGTAGTCGGCCTCCTTCTGGTCGATCTGTTTCTTGTGCGAGTCCACCAAGAGCAGGAGGTCCGAATTGCGCTTCTCCAGGCGCCCACGGGCCACCTCGGTGCGCTGGACCTGGCCCTGCAGCTCCGCCACCTCCTCCTGAAGCAGGACGTGGCGGGAGGAGATACTCCAGTAGTTGAAGGCGAGGACCGCGATCACCACCAGCAGCACCACCAACACGAAGGAGGGCAGGCGGCCGGCCCGCCGGTTAGCCCCGAAACCCACCATGGGGTCGAACTAGGCTGTGCCCTGGGGCCTCGCCGCGGACACCTGCGGCCAGAATCTCAGGCCTCAGTAGCTGAGTTGCCTGGGGGACGCGGCCCCAGGGCCGGCCGAAGGAGGAGGCGGGCCAATCTGCCTGCCTGAGAGCCGGAGAAGGGGGCGGGGCCGCAAGCCGCAGGCCCCTCCCCGCCCCCCCTCCTCAAATCAGGCCAAAGCGTGTTCCCAAAGCTTTGAAAACGACCCTGCACAATCCGGGTAGAACCAGGAGAACCCAGCCGCCTGCACCCGGGACCCAACACCTCAGGGCTGGGGGGCGGGGAAAGGTGCCGGAAGGGGGCGGATTTAACTCTGGCCCCGCCCATTGCCTGGGTCCGGGTCGCTTAGGGGGCCATTGCCTAGTTTCCGCCGACGCCCCCTCTTCTCGCGAGAAAGTGAGTTTCTCTCGCCCTTTGCAGTCTTATCTCGCGAGTGTTATCTCTGTTGGGAAGAGTGTTGTGTTAATTTTGGCGCTTTGTGTTAGCTCTTGTACCTGAATTCGAATCTCTTCAATTTTTTACCCTGATTCCCTTGACCCAAGGTCCAGGGAGTGCCTACCCTACCCTGACTCTCGTGCGAGTTTTCGTCTTTGAGGACATCTGCGGTTGCGACCGCTTTGTAGGGATAACAGTCGGTGAGATGCGGCAGAAAGGGCGACTAGAAGGGCTCTGTACTTGCTTCAGTAGATAGATTTTCTCGTCTGTGCTGACGATGTAGAGAGTAAACAACAAATACCATAAAATAGTGGTGCTCCCAATATTACAAAGACAAATCAAGAAAAACTAAGCTTTATAACTGAACGGGGTGGTGCCAGCCAGGTTTCCAAGGTTACTCCTTGCACGGAAGGGAAGAACTTCAGAATGTGTGAGTTCTTAAACTTACTGCTGCTTTTGCTTTGAGACAGGCTTCCAAATAGAAAGTCCAGAAGCTACCTCAATGAATGATAACTAATGCTATTACTGACAGCACACTCTGAATTAGAAATAGCTCTTTTACAAATTATTTTTGCATGCCTAGTCTCATGTTATCTTCTCAACAACACAGTTATACAGATGAGGAATCTAATACAAAAAACTGTTCCAGAAACTTTCTCAAAGTCCCTTATCTTGTTTGGGACTTGTTAGACTTGGAGCCAGATCACTGTTCCCTTAACTTCATTGCTCTTTGCATTATACCAGGCTAACCGTTGCTATACGTTCAGCATTAATCACCGTGAGGAAGAAAAAGCCCCACCTCTTTTGTTTTTTCTGCAGATTTCCTTTGTCGTGGCATAAAAAAAAAAAAAAAATTTAAGTTATTGGCTGTTTAAGGAGAAGATGGAGTTGCTTTATTTTTCAAACTTCAGTTTCAAGAACTTCCATAAGAATAAAATCTCAAGAATGAAAAAAACTGGTATTTTCATTCAAATCAGGGCAAAAAGACTTGTCATCTTTGAATAATTATCCTATGCATCCTGTCCGTTTCAAAAATGAAGTAACTTGCCTAGAAGTTAGTAGCCTGGAAGAATTATTGCACCTTTAAGAGTGATGATTTCTCTCTTATAGTTACATAAAAACAAGTAATGCCAAAATTATTAATCTTTAGTTCACATCAAACTTGAATTCTTTGCTCCAGCTTCATGAGATCACATAAATCCCCTTCACTCTCAAATGACAAGCAGACTTTGGCGAAAGGAAGCAAAGCAAAAATAGAAGATGATTGACTATAATGACCCTTCCCATGTATCCTTTTCCTCAACTTCATAATGGCCTTGCTTTGTGTAGCCAGCAGTTGAAAATTAACTATAAAATAGTATTAACTGCTTAAGATATTACTCTTGCAAAAATGTTTTCATTTTTATATGGGATTCTGACACATAAAAATTTAATATTGTACAAAACACATTCACATACATTTTTTTTTTCAACGTTTATTTATTTTTGGGACAGAGAGAGACAGAGCATGAACGGGGGAGGGGCAGAGAGAGAGGGAGACACAGAATCGGAAACAGGCTCCAGGCTCTGAGCCATCAGCCCAGAGCCCGACGCGGGGCTCGAACTCACGGACCACGAGATCGTGACCTGGCTGAAGTCGGACGCTTAACCGACTGCGCCACCCAGGCGCCCCAGACATACATTTTTTAAATAGATGCTTAAAAGAACTATTTGTTTCTTAGTCCATTATTCCATTTTACACATGCAGAAGTAATGTGCTTAAAGTGATATGTCTGGCAAGTGGCAGGGCTGATCTTAAAAACCAACCCTATTTCGACTCTGCCCCCAGGGAAAAAAATTTTTTATTCCATTTTGATGGTTACCTCTTCAAGCTATTCTCCCTACTAAAGGAACCAAATCCACATATCATCATGACAGTGTATAAGCACTTTCCTATAGATGGTTCTGGTTCTGGAAGTAAAAGTCAATTCCTTAAGCCAGGTGATCAAGGTTAGCAACAACATTGATAAGTCATGTTATTAGTATGTATCCTTGATATGATGTGATGGGAGCACCACTCTGTGGTTTCCCTCCCCAAAACTCTTAACTCTAGTCTAATCGTTAGAAAAAATATCGCACAAATTCCAATTGCCTCAACTGGACCAGTAATCCTACAAAGTGTCAAGGTCATCAAAAACAAGGAAAGTCTGAGAAACTTTCACAGGCAAAAGAAGCATGAGGAGACATAACTACTAAATGTAATGTGGTATCCTGGATAGGATCCTAGAACAGAAAAAGGACATTAGGGGAAGATGAAGGAAATTTGAATAAAATATGAACTTTAGTTAATAATAATGCATTAATTGATTGTTATAGATGTACCATGCTCATATAGGGTGTTAATAATGGGGGAGATTGGATGTGAGGTATGTGAGAGTTCTTTAATATTTTCACTATTTTTCTGTATTTCTAAAACTGCTCTAAAATAAAATTATTTTTCAAACACCAGTTTCTATCTTTTGGAATATCTTTTAGGTTATAATGTGTAGACATAAATATGTTCATATAGCTGAAAAGGCAGTATAATCACAGAGAAATAATGTTTTAAGATTTATTTTCAGGGTAAACATCTATTATAAAGTGGCAAGTAAGGTTGAATAACAGGAATTTTGTGTTTAAATTGAGTTTTCTTTAAGGGCAACAATCATGTCATTTATTTCTCTTGTGCAATCGAGACCCTTTTTGAGCTCAGAACACTATTTGGCATATGTCTTCAGTTTATGTTGACTCAAAAAATTTTATATGCTGCAGTTGAGCAGAGGAGTGGATTATTTCATAGCTTATTCCTCAATATATCTTTTAAAGATTTTACTTTTAAGCAATCTCTACACCCAACGTGGGGCTCAACCTCACAACTCCAAGATCAAGAGTCACATGCTCTACCAACTGAGCCAGCCAGGTACCTCATTATTCCTCAATATTTATGACTTTGGGTAGGACTAGATTAGAGAAGGTGGCAGCTCATAGAAATACAAAATAGACAAATATGTTAGGCAAGTTCTTTCCATTGCAAATGGAAAAAAACAACAACCAAAACTGGTTAAAGCAAAGAGTTATATATATTTTAGAAGCATACTGGAATAGTCCATGGTAATATTGAAAGAGCAACAGGAACTGGGGTACCTATAGGGAACTCAATGCTTCCGTAATTCAGTCTTTTTGTTTCTCCCCCCTGCTTGGCTTTATTCTTTATTTCTTCAGATGGTGCTTTTCTTTGCAGACAAGAAATATGGCCCCAACATCTCCAGGGTCACATCCTGCTAGTTCCATGATCTGAAAAGCAAGGGAAGTCTGTCTTCTAGCTTTCAGTACAAAAATGATGAAGGAAGGATTCTGGTTGTCCAAGCCTGATCATTACACACAACTTATACCCATCACTGTGGCCAGGGAGATAAGGTATTATGATTGGCCCAGCATAAAATGCTCTCCTATGGCCAGTAGTCAGTCTGAAAACAAGAAACAGAAAAAAAATGTTGACTCAAACAAATACAACTGAGTTTCCTTTTTCTTGAGATGCATTATCTTCCTTCCAATTAAGAACAGTTAATAAGTGAATAAAGACATTGTGTTTCAGGTTGTTTTCCCCAGGAAACAGGCTCTGAGATGGAGATTCATAATAGAAAACATAATAGGATGAAAATGGTATTGGCAGAGGGAGAGTTGGAATGCTATGCAGTCTCAGTGAAAGCTTCAGCCAATGCCAATAGAGCTCTAAACTTTTGCAGCCCTTCAGAGTTGTCCTGAGTCGGAGGGGTCCAGGCCTTTATATTCATAAATCAACCAGGTTTTGGATAGCAAGGAGAAAAGGCCACAGGCTATGTGCTAACTCCAGTCAATTAATAACAATGCCTGAATTACTGTACTAAAAATAAAAAAATTGACAAAATGTATCTGAGCTAAGTGAGGAAGAATGCTATGATCAATTAGTAATTTGTCCACAGGCACAGGAGGGGGTATGATGTTATGCATGAGAGGTGGATGCTATGATGCACAACCCGGATCCCCTTTCAGGCATGAAGGACTTATTCCCCTAACTGCTGGGAGTGCTGCCAACAGAGAGCCTTTAGCTATCAGCCCTTTTCAGAATTGCCTCAGTTGAAGAGGACCACCTTGTGAACAGAATGCCCTGTTCCCATGGCAACCAACAATGAATACTAGTCAAGAGAACACACTTTTGTTAAGTTACTTCCTTACATCAAACCCATTTCCTATGGTTGTATAGCAAGAGACAATGTACTGTAGGGGTAATGTGGGCTCTGGAGTAAGAATGTGTGAGTTAAAAGTCTCTGCCTCTTACTAATTTTGTAACACAGGCAAGATACTCAACTTCAGTGCACCAGGTTTCCCATTTCCAAAATGGCATATGAGTTAGGATTAAATTTGGCTCCATATAAGGGGGAGAAATAACTTGAACAAGATAGGATTTTTTTTTCTTTCTTACATAAAATATATTCAGACACAAGCAATCCAAGACTGGTATGTCAGGCTCCTTCAAGC